CTCATTAATTAATTGTTGCATTAGGTCGCGTGATCAATGGCTGGCGGCTTTGATAAATTGCCTCGCATTACTATGCCTCCGTTCATATTCACCTGTGCAGCCGTCGTATGGAAAATTGCTAAACAAAATCTTAATGAAACGTACCATAAGGTTTAAACTTATTTGTTCAAAGTCGAATATTACGCAATCTCTTTTAAGTATCTGATTTGAAAACTAACCACGACTACTATTTTGAAATAGGTCATCGGAAAATGACAATTTTAGATGCATTAAAAATAGAAGTAGGCAACACCGCTCATGCGCCAATGCAGTTTTTGTCACTCTCGTCTTCACGTTTCCTCTCTGATTCGCATTTAAAATCCGTGTACTAAACTAAAGGCAGGGGTTACGATATCGGTAATCATTCGACTCAAGTCAAATGATTGTGATTGGATTCAACTTAGGCGAATGATTTGCCCATTCCAATGACTAGTCTTAGTAAGTGCGCGTAGTTATCTCTGGGTGACGGGCGCAGTGTCATTGCTTTGCGAGGTCAGAGCTGCACCGCAACTGTTGTGGACAGGCATGTCACTTACCACCTTGTTATAAAAAAACTATTTTTACTAACATAAATAAATAATAAACGAACACATTAATTAAAAAAACACCCTATTACGGAATAGGGCATTGCGATTAACGATTTCTTTACCCGAGACTCGAAACGTAATTTGATTTATTTTTTCATTTCCGACAGTTCATTTATTTCATAGAAACAAAAATTATGTTGTAGCAATTGTTAGAACCTAATGGAGGGCAGCATATACCCGGTCCGCCCCTTTGACTCAGTCCAGCGATATCAGATTTTAAGCACGCGCTTTTTGAATCAAGTTAACAACGCTGCATCGCCTTATTATAAAATCACAAAGGCTGTTGTTTCCACTTAATGTTAAGTACATTTTGAGGCGTTTGGTATGAAAATACCGCTGAGTACTTACGATTTAGTGAATAGTTTTTATATAGAATTGTTATAACTACAAGAGGGTAATTTTCAAGTTAGTTTTCTCTACCTAATATACGTGCCAATTTTTGTTATTTGAATGCTCTACAATATTATCATGAAGTCTTATTTAATATACAAGTGCAGTATCCTGTACAATAAACTCGAATACATAAATAATAAACCGCCAGCGAAACTAGGTAGAGATAAGTAACCTGAAAACCACCCATTTAATTAAAAAAAAAATAAAGAATATATATGACCGAAATCAAGGTGGGTATGGAACGTGATGCGTGAAAGGGACAGAGAGATTTAAAAGCATCACAAATATCTTACCATTGGTATAATAAAGCAAATACAATCATACGGCAAAAGTGTCTTTATTACACGAAAATCATAAAAATAACGCGAACTACATGAATTATGGTATATGAGATATTTTATCCATTAATTTCCTCGATCATTCGAACCTCTCTTCTGAAAAGTTGTCATTTTGCAAATATGCCTGATTACAACAAGAGTGTTAAAGATTTGTCCACAAACATAAGTATTTTCTTTTATGTTTTAATGATTTCAGAACAATGTACAATTTTCTTTTTCACACTATCATAATGCACGTGTTTTAATACTGTTTTCATCAAAATTAGTTCTGTATTATGACATAAAACGGAATCACGAATGAAACGAGACGCCGCAGAAATAGTTCTTACGTATCCGCCTAAGAGCCACATTAACATCCTTGTAAGGTGGGCAACAAATAAGATGTATAATTTTTTAGTGAAATCGTATCTTGTATTAAGATTTTTTAATTGATAAAAGGTGTTACATGAGTGACAATTTATTAATGTAAGGTGACCCTTTGTAGCCTAGCCTTAACGAAATGAGAATGCAGAAGGCTCGGTTCACATAATGTATTGTAAAAAGAGGAAAAGGAGAAGCTGTTACCACAGAACAATAAATACAGTAGAACGATATATCCAGGATAAGGTTTATAGTATATTAACAGTCCGGCATTTGTTACATCCAATTCAATTTCAAGTTACGTCCAATTTGAACTTCGGCAGATACATTGAATCCATGGTCAAAAATGCAGCAAGGGAGCTTGGCATCCTTTCCACGGTGGGGCGTTACTTTCCACCGGGACAGTTGCTCCAGCTGTACCAAACACAAGTCCGGACGTGCATGGAGTACTGCTGCCACCCTTGTGATGACTGTGCTACATACCAACTGGCGACCCTGAATTCAATCAACAACCGTACCAAGAAGCTTATAGGTGACTCAAAATTGGTGAAGGCGAAGCTGCAGACACTTGAACACCGCCGTAAAGTTGCCTGCTTATCGGTATTCTACAGGATACATCACGGAGAGTGTGCGGTGGGATTGCATAATTTTATTCTGCCTTCCCCTTTCCATCACCGGGGGACCAGACGTAGGCTTGGGTACCACTCTATGTAAATATGTGTATACTCTATGTAAATATATGTAAAAAGGTGGATAGTCCAAAGATTCGCACGAAGCGTTACGCTTTCACATTTATATGGCGAACGGCTATGGAGTGGAATTCCCTGCCTGCAGACTTGTTTCCTGAACGTCATAACTTGGACCTTTTCAAGGCCAGAGTGAATAGGCATTATTTAGGTGTGCATGCTCCATCGTCAACCTCATCGTCACTTTCCATCAGGTGAGATGGAGGTCAAATGCGCAATTACATTTCATTAAAAAAACATCATTTTAAATTAGAAACTAAAACCAATAATTATGAAGATTTCATAGTGTTTGATATAATGATTGTGTTAGTTTTGGCGACAACGGTTCTGGTAGTAATCGAAGCCATTGTTTTTTTTCCGTGGCTGTAACAAATATAACTATATAAAGAAATACAATTAATTTAAAACGCTCCCTACACAAGACTAATTCCAATACTTATACCAAAAAGGCCTATATATCTATATTGTTTTAATAGTAAACGACGTGAAGTCGTAGGAATACATGAAGGTGATGATTTATGGGCACGTCCTGTCCTTGCCAGAATTTTGATTGGGGTAACAATGAATCGAACCAAAACGGAATGAATGGTGAAGATCTTAGAGCTAAGGTGGAGGTAAAGGGAATTGAAAAAAATGCGAGAACGATTCATAATTTTAAAATTAAGTGACCATAAGTAAAGATGGTGATAAAAAGATGAGATGGGATAAAGGATGTCAGCTTCGTCACAGCATTATGTTCTTTCGCGTAATCTCCATATTCCATGTATATTATATGAAAAAGAAAGGTATTACAAACTCAAAATGTGACTTAAGATTTACGAGTGCGGTTTACCAGAAGCATTTGTCTAGTGATTTGTCTAAAAAGTTTCCTAATAATGAACAAGCTGTAGAAAGTTTCCCTCTTTGTTCTGCGAACATTTTCCTATGAAAAATAATCGTTCTGGTATATACTAGTGTTAAATATTTATTTAAAATAATGGCGGTTTTCGTTGACACACATTTTTAATTTGAAACACTATAGAATTTTGATATTGATTGGTCATAGTTTCAAATTTTAAAAGTAACAAATTCTTTATTGCTAATGTAATTTAAACTTTACCCTGTTGGCATATCGTTGAAAGTTCAATACTGTCAATACTTATTATAGCAAGTTACGACGTTTTGATATTATATTGAAATTTCAACCAACATACTGCCATCAAGCAATCAATTAAACAACGACGAATTGGAGTTATTAATTTAGTTTTCCAAAAATGAAGCTACCATATTGCAGGTATAAGCTTTACTTCCGTTTCTTGTAACAAAACAAAAGCTATTTCGATAAACAAAAAATTTAACATTTACAAAAATAATACTTTCCGATGATACGAAATACGACCACGGATAATATTGTTGGTGCGGTTATCATTTTTGCACTCCAAAACAGCACAATAACGCATTTTTCTAGGATTTTAGAGAATTTACACGAAAGAATAATACAACCATACCATACAAAGCGAAAATGACCGACAGAGGACGGAGGACATGCGTCTGACGCTAACTAACCACTTCTACTGTATTATTGTTATTGTTCTGTGGGTACGGCACGCAAAAACCGAATAACAAACTTTTAGTTTATGACATTCTTGTTCTGTAACTGTGTCCGAATTTATGAGTAAACTGTCAATAAGGGTGAGATCAGACGAACTTAATTTTGTGAGTTGTAAGTTGCGTTATTTGAGTTGCGTAATAAGGCTGCATTCAGTTTCATAAGTTCGTTTTATAACACACGACGACGCAAAGTAGTTGTCTGCCAACTCACGCGCGTAATTACGACCGAATTTCGGTCGCACTATGCGACGTGCGGGTGTGGGTGGAGTAAGGAGTGAGGGAAGTATATATGTAGATAGCGACTATGGTATTGGATGGCGTGAGTAAACACGTTTCTTCCTCCATTATACTATATAACTCAAACACCCTAAACAAACGCGCTTAAAAGCAACTGAATGAAATACGTTCGTCTGGAGCCCCAACGGAATTTAAGTCGCACACAAACTACACGACTCAAAAAACGCGACTCACAACTAATAAAATTACAGTAATCTGGCTTCACCCTAACGGTTGTCATTGAAGCCGTTTCCTACGAAATGCTTTAACAGAATGTCTGTGACAAATATTGTTCATACTTACATACGAGTATTTCTGTATTTACGTTATTACATAATAATCACCAATTTTCCTGTAAGCCTAGTTAGGGTCGTTTGCATTTTTTTTTTGCTCCAGACAGCAATTGAAATTACTTATGTTGTATTATCATTATTGCCAGGAACTAATATTTTGACTCATAAATTGTTTAGTATTGACACCAAATTTTCCGATAAAGACCCATTAACTTACCATAAAATTGGCCGACGTAACATTGACGCATTTAATGTACGTGTGAAGACAATATATACATACATAGGAACTATTGACAGTTAATTGTTTGAAATTCACGATGTTGGTTCAAGTGTACGATGACTAACACTATTTAAGAGTTTGGATAAGATACCAGCGCCACTAGTTACCATGATCAAGTTCATACTGTTCGGAGCCCTTGTGGTCAATATTATACTTCTAGCGTCATCTGCAGACACAGGTATGATATTCTATTTTATAATTAAGTACTGCAACTTTATGAATACTTTCCTTTATAATTTAATAACTATCATAAAATCGAATAGAAAATATTTCACGTATCGTTTTTTTACTACTAAGGGTGGAACTGATTGTTGAGCAAGTAAAAAACGAAATGCCTAAAATTTTCTACTACAAAAATACCAAGTCTAGGATAAATAAAATGTATTAACTGATAAAATAATCAATACAGGAATAATATTATTTGATCCTCAAAAACATAATTGATGTATTGAACTTTTTAAAATAAACGATATTTTTTGTTTGATATTTATACGTTAATTGTTCTATCTATATTAGTTGATCTACGGATAAAATATAAATGAAGTGCATTCAAGGTAACACTATCATTCTAATTAAGCATACTAAATTTCAGATATAAATTTAGTGTTCAGATATAAATTCAAAAATTTTAACTGATCCTCTTTTTTTATTATTGGTCTTTTCTTTTAACGATTGATGATATTTAAAACCAGTATATCTTTTGTAATTGATCTTAGGAGATAGGAGATAGAAAGCAATCAAGAGTTATTAGGATAACTCTCAAGAGGAAGCAATCAAGAGTTATTAGGATAACTCTTGATTGCTTCTTTGTTCAAAATTTTATTTGTAATGCTCATTTGTTTTGGGTTTGAGGCCCAACATAAAACTATCAAAGTTAACTTATACAATCTCAGTACAGAGTATTAAAAAAATCACCTCAAAAGTCATTCATCCCCTAATTTGCTACCTTTAGAGATGGAATACTTTCTTCAAATTTAAATGGGAACACTACTGAGGTGCCCTCTTTGCACGAAAAAAACGTATCATCAAAATCGGTTCACCATTTTTTTCGTAGCTCAGAACAGATTAAAATATCCATTGATTAAATTTATTTTATGTCTCAGAAAAAGAGGCTCTGTGATTAAAAACAATGGTCAAACGGCCAGATTTTTTGCCTGCTGCTTTTGCAAATTTAAAATTATCATTTAAATACATGCCTATAAATGATGACCGTGTTTTGATAAGTACTTTATTCATATAACTAAAAAAGTAAATTTTTTTATTTGTGCTTAATGCTTTCACCAATCAAATTTTCCTAGCCATTTTGCAGTGTTTGTTGAATAATGTCATAAACCGTTTAAATTTATTGTGCAGTCGCAATTTTAACGGAAACTTCGTGAATTAGTTATAGTAGCTATTCCTAAAACGGCTATTGTCAACGAGCATAATTTTAACCAAGGGTAGTATCAAAAGCAGCAAAGGTATAAGTTCAACTTATAGCAAATCCGGTTTTTATTCTCTTTCAGATAACGATTATAGTCGACCTCCACCACCTACAGAAAGTAAGTTATTTCTCTTATTTTGTTTAGCTCATGAATCCGAAATTCAAGGTTCATTTGCATTACGTAAGTTATTCACGTTTTCTGTAAGGATTGTTTTAAACTTTGAGAAATTATTCTAATAGTACTGTACGTATTCTGGATTACCGGCTTCTTATATCTCAAAAATATTGTTATTATAATTTTTATAAAAAATGTAAGTGCGCATTTGACCTCCATTTTACTTGATAGAAAATGACGATGAAATAGACGATGGAGCATACACACCTAAATAATGCTTATTCACTGTCGTTTTGAAAAGGTCCAAGTTACAACATTCAGGGAACAAGCCTGCAGGCAGCTTAGCCCTTCGCCATATTATGTGGAAGCGTGACGCTTCGTACGAATCTTGGAAATATCCACAACATGGGGTAGAACCCAAGCCTACGTCAAGTCCCACGGTGATGGAAACGGGAAAGCGGTTAAATCGTGTAATTCCATCGCACACTCTCCGTGATATATCCTATAGAATATTGTACAGGATATATCACGGAGAGTGTGCAGGCAAGTTTACGGTGGTGTTCAAGGCTCTGCAGCCTCACCTCTACTAATTCCGAGTCACCTATAAGTCTCTTGCGACGCTTGTCAATTGAATCCAAGATGGCCAGTTGGTATATAACAGAGCAATCCCAAAAGTGCCAGTACTCCATACACGACCGGACTTGTGGTTGGTACAGCTGAAGCAACTGTCCCGGTGTAAAGTAACGCCTCACCTTGGAAAGCTTCCTGAGCCCCCTTCATTTATGTATATATACATGTACACACACACATATATATATATATATTCTATATATATAATATTATATTTCCTTCCTT